ACGCGCAGGCGCGCCGGCATTCGTTTCGCCCGTCGGTGTGAGGCGCGTCATTGTGTGGGTACGGATTACTACTTTTACGAGTAAAAATCTTTACCGAAATAGTAATAATTGCTCTGATTCGTAATAAAAGTTGCTTCGCTCAGAGTATTAATTGCTCGGGACATTTTAAATATTACTCGGCTTTTAATAAAATTTAGATTCCTTGAAGTAAATTATACTTTTTCAAAAAAGTAAAAATCGTTTGAATACGAAGCAAAAGTTACTATTTTTCGAGCAGTTTCAAAATTACTACTTAAAAGTAGTAATTTTTCATCGAAAATAGTATAATTATTACTATTTATTTTTCTCCGTGTGGGAGTCACAAATCTTTTGACGCGGGACGATTTAGATTGATGTTGATTCAAGGAACATGTTAATGGAAGGGGAATATTCAAGGTCCTCTTTCATTATCTTAGGTTGAAAATCCTAAAAAACATTAATTGTCATTAATAGATTGCAGGCGTCTTCCATCTCGCCATTGCGAAGCCGCCAAGGGACAGAGATGTATTACGTACAGCCGTTAGCGAGATCGTTTGCTGGCTCCGTTACACCAATCACAATTACTCGAGCGGTCTCTTTGTGGTTTGCTTAGATTGAGAGATAAACCCGCTTCTTTCATGCTCGATCCAATAATTTAACGTAATTAGGAGCGTGGCATACTAGTATAGGTAGCATGATGTATAATATCCTCTCAAACCCGCAGCATCCAACAGCTATAAAGCCCAAAAAAAGAAAATAATACAAAATACTTCATTATTAAGTCATTCATCAAGAATATTCGGCATATTTTCCTTATATTCTGTATAAAATCGATTATTATCTCAACAGAAAAACTTGGAGTAAAAAATGTTAAATGTCTAGATGAATGATGGCTGTGATGAATGAGTGGATAACGATTGACTACTGAATTTTCGAGATAAACATATAGGTATATAACCTAGATGAAGAAAAAATAAAAAATATAGTAAAATCTAGAAACGGGAAGAAAAAGGAAAGGTTTTTGATGGTATTTGACGATTTTTCATGATCCGTTTGAGATTATCAGTCGAAGTCACGGAGACGTAACTAATAGGATTGGATGTTAAGACAGCACCGCGTGGAAGACGTCGATCAAGATTGTAAACTCGTTACGGGTAAATTACCTTGAGCGTCAAAGTCTTTCAAATCGAAAGAGAGAAGTCAACGCCCATGAGCAGCAAAGGAGGCAGATGGGCGCAGGACGAAGAAAAGGTGAGGTCAAATAACAGGGCGCGCTCCGATCGACATTAATCACTATCCCGAAGTGAGTAGATAGCCTTCGAATGTTCACTTTCTAAAAGCAAGGTGCAGAGGGAAGGGGGTTTAGGGTAGGTGATAGAGGTGATGAATGGCTCCGTGACGCGAGACTATCCATCATCTTGCTCGACATCACAGGAGCTGCCTACCGCGAGAGAGAGAGATTTTGCGCGAAAGGTCACCACCATAGCTAATTCATCATCTCGGAACGTCGTCGTCTCCGTCGTCATCATCGTGGATCGCGTGCAACGTCTGCCCATCTTCACTGAAAAAAGCAGGGATCCTCCAGACTACTCAAGAAACCATCAAGCCAAGTTTCTTATGTTTGTTTTGTTTCTTCCTGACTTTTCCCTGATTCCCAAACAAAATTTTGACTTTTTCCCTGACCCTAAAGAATATTCTGAGTAACTATAAAAATTGTTAGATACTAAAAAAAAATTTTATATTACATTTATTTACAGTAAATTTAAATTTTTTTTACTTGTAAAATTATTCAAAAACAACAATAACTTCTTTATTAGATAAATATTTAATCATTATTATTCTTTTATAGGAATTAATAAGATTTTTAAAAAATTTAAATTTAAACCTTTTGAAATTCTATAACTTTTAAGAATATTATTATTATATTTTCAAAATAAAAAAAATTAAATTATTTACAAAATTTTTATTAAAATCCTTTGCAAGAATTTAATTATTTTTATAAGTAATACAAATTTTTCACATCAATTCAATTATAAAAAAAATGTAATAAAATTCGTTGAATTCAATTATTATCATAAATAATAACATTTTTTGTAGGATTTAAATTATTTTTAATACAATTGAGCCTCCCAATTCAAGAACTCGCCTGACGCTGGGATAAAAGAGCCGCGTAGGGCGAGTTCTTGAATTGGGAGGCTCAATTTTAAATGAATTCCTCGAAAAATGTTATTATTTTCAAACATTTTTGGCAACATTCTTCGAAAAATGTAATTAATTTTTTGCAAAAGTTCATAGAGAATTTTCAAATCCATTTGTTTGCAATTCAATTTTACGAAATTTTGATTGTTCTGAAATTCTTTAATTAAATATTTAGAAAATAAAAACTTGAAATAATTTTTTTAAAAATTCAATTAAACTTAATAAGAGTAACTTTTTCTAACTACAATTGTTTCTAAAAATTCATTTTATAATATGCTTTTAATATTCAATCGTTATCTAAAATTTTAACTGAAATTCATTTTTAAAACAATTTTTATTAGCAAATTCTACGAGAATTCATTTATTTAAATACAAAAATGAAAAAAATATTGAATCAATTAATGTTTTTTAAAATTGAATTCTCATAAAAAATGTTATCAACAAATTATTAAATAATTAAATTTTTTCGACGAATTTTATTAATAAAATTTTCAAAAATAATTACATTTTTTGAGGAATTTGGTTGAAATTGTATTTAAAATGATTGAAATTTTACTTTCCCTGATTTTTCCTTGAATTCCTTAATTTCCCTGACCTGTGGCAACCCTGCATACTTTGCCCACAGTTCAAAATGTTGCCAATAATCTTTAAAAATATAAAATGAACGATTTTCTCTTTTCGCTATATGCTTTGTCCATGGTTCAAAATTAAAAATATTTCGCCATTCGTTACTCATAGTTTGCTATCTTTTACCCATACTTCAATTTCGATGCGTGAAGTTTGCGAAACTTACAAGGCAAGATTACATGCCATCCGGGTCTATTCTTTTGCATATTTTCCATTCTTAACCAAACAGTTTCATAAGCTCTTTTCTGAAATTGATGATCGCCATTTTGAAGAATAACAAAAAAAATCGTCCAGATGTATGCCAAAATTCAGCAAAAGGAAACTTCATCCGCAGGAAGTCTTAAGAAAATTAAATGTGTCAGTGCAGTGGCTCGGATGCATGCTGAGTGTAAATGCGAATAACAAGGACGATGTAATATATCAACATCGCGTTGGCGGTCTCTTGAGTTAGTGTAACGTTTGGCACTGCAGGAGACCAGAGCTGGCTGTCAGGCCTATATAACCCCTGCCAGGCTTAAAGGAACAATCGCTCTCAATTCTTTGGAGTTAAAAAAAAAGAAAAAACTTGTGATGTTTAAAAAAGTCATGCAGGTTTTCTTTTATTAAAAGAAGATACTAAAGAGCCTCAGTTGCAGCTGCCTGCGATTCCCTGTTCCTGTCCCCATCATGTCACGATAACAACGTTCCTCGTATTATTCATGAGACGTCTGTCATTTTCAGTACATGACAACCACTTTATGATGATAATTTAATAAGTCCACAGATCTCTTATCTACTGACAACTATGTCGACTTTCTGATTTGATGATTAAAATAAATTCAAAAGAAAAAAAAATTGAGATTTTAATCAGTTTTTTTCTATTTTGAAAAATTGTTTCAACAATTATTGAATTTTAGGATCGATCTCTTGCAAAGGATTGGTTGAGATGGATGCTCTTTGCTGTCGCGTATTCAACTTGTGATGTATGACTCGACGTTTTAGAAGCAGCCACTGTACAGCAGACTGTACACAGATGCCGCAGGCGGCTAGAGGTCCCTTTGTGTTTTATTACAAACGATACGTCAGTCCACGATGTATGGGCCGCTTTTATCTGCGGTATGTTATTGATGTGCTACATTGTCTGCACTGACTCGCAAGAGTGGGCAGAATGCTTGATAGACGTCGTTCAAGACATGAGTCTGTCTTGACCCATCCGGCGATAGTCAAAGAGACACGCACAAGTTTTGTCTCTCGCTTTATCCTATGCCAATAATGATAATAAATTCCAAATAATTGCAATTTGCAGTGAAATTAAAAAAATTAAAATTGCTTTTCAAAATTTGCAGAGACGAAGTATTAATTGTGTGTAAATAAAGTTGACTCTGATGGATGGTGAATAAAAGAAAGAAAAATCAGTTATGAAAGTCACGCGGCAATGTCAGTTGGAGGATACGTGAGTTTGTCGTTAAGCACGACACGTTACTAATTGAGATTCAGCGGCGCGCGTAATGGTTCGAAATAACATGAATTCCAATCTGAAGAATGGCTGGACGAAATATGGGTAGCCATTCATCTTGACTGTAAAATCGACGAATATTTCATGCTGCTGAGTTAGCAGAAAGAGAGAGAGCCGCTATCGTGGCGACGGCAGTGAAGAGAGCAAAAGCTTATAAAGTGGGAAAAAAAGAACACACACACACATTCACAAAAATGAGAAAAGAACCAAAAAAATGCTCAAGAAGAAAGAGAGAAGCTTATAGAACTTCAACCCCCAGCCAAGTAAAATAACCACCCTCTCACTCTTTTTTTCAACCCCACCTGATATCCGAGAAGTCGCTGGTAATGAAAGAAATAAATTCACCTTTCCTGTACCCTGGGGATTGGGTCCCTTTACACACACACACAAACACAGGAACTTGAGAAGCGTGAAAAAAATCCCTTCCAGTCTATACATTAAAACATTAATCACATAATTTTAAATAATTTCCAAAAAATATCAGTGAAAAGAAAATTTTAATTTCTTTAAGTTTTTAAAGCACTTCTATAAGATGTAAAATAAAATCTAATAATAACGAAAAAATTTGTAATTTTTTAACTTTCTTTAAACCTTAAGACTATGCATTTATTCTGAGGGATAATGAATGAAAATGAAAGAAAATTTTTTACAAATCACAATATTATGATTCTACAAACATGTTTATTAAAGCAGTATGGAAACTCAACGATATTATTTACAATTCTTATTTACAAGATGAAATGACATATCGTAACGCTATATGCGCACTGTTGCATTTTTAGCACTTAAATCATTTGACAAAAATTTTATTTTACTGTGAATTGTGATCGAAATATTTGCAATCGACTCAATTAATCGCGAAACAAAGACTTTCCTTTCTTTTCTTATTTTTTGAAAAAATAATACAATATCACAGTTACAGTATGGACAGTTTCTGAAAATCATCGAGTCGATCGTTCACTGGGATAAGAAAACAAAACACCAAAAATTTCCTTTTGCAAAGAAAAAATTTCTTTTTTACAATTCGGAGAAACACAATTTTAAGAAATGAAAAATTGACACGTAAGATAAACGTCTTATATAATTAGAGAAATACACTTTTGCAACTCGCGACATTAACGTCGATACACACTTTCAATTCGCATATAGTAATAATTATTTTTTTCATTTATATAGATCTTCTCATTTAAATAGATTCCTATATTACAAATACACGCCCAGGGCGTTTTTTATTTACAAGTAAAGACAGTCTGTTTAAACGGGACTTGGTCCCTTTTTGTTTTGTTCCGTCGGAAGAAACTTATGGATGAACGGCGGCGCCAATTCGTTGACCATAAATTGCATAGGGTGAATAATAGGGTCCGAGTGCATTGAATGCACTGTATGGTGATGCCGCAAGTGATGCAGGAAGTGGTCCAGTCATTGGTTTTCCATAAGGATGATATCGTCCACTAAGTGGACTGAGTGAAGGTGCAGGATATGAACCACCGGCTGCACGATGAAGTGCCGCCGACGGTGACAGTAATGGATGAGGATGTGGTGAACCTAAGAGAGCAGCTGATGCAGCCGCCGCATGTTCACCACCGGCCAAACTCGTGTGACTCCTAAGATGTTGAAGTAGTTCCTCAGAAGTGTTAAACCGTTTTCCACAATATGAATCACCGGCAATCCAACTGCAGACGTGGGGTCGTCCACCGGCTAGGGTTGATGGATAACTGAGAGAGGGTGGTGGCATTTGTCCCAGTGACGATAGGGCCATGGCCAGGCCGTATTTTTGATGATCACATTGGGTGCAACCACTGGGACAGGAACCGGCGCCCATCATCATTTGGGCATTGTGCATGCTGTACTGACAACCAGTACAGTAAGGATCCTTGCACACTGGAACTAGAGCTTCGCCACCAGCTGGTGTCTTCACACGTGCATAACTCAAATAAGGATTGTTACCAGCAGCCGATGATGTTGGTGGATAGGCTAAGAGAGCTGCAGTCGCGGCGTGATGATGCGAGAATGGCGATGCTCCGGCAAAAGGTGGCCTGAATGCGGGATTTTCGGCGAGACCAGGAGGACAACAAAGAGGATTACCACCGAAACTGGGAAGTCCCGATACTGACTTATAAGCACCGAGGTCTTTCGCATGTCCCGAGAGGATCTCCATTCCTGATCGGATTATCGGACTTGCACCATTGTTTCGGGGCGAATCACTCACTTTTTCACGATCAGCGGGTGTTTTTCGATCACTATTACTAGAATTATTTGTCGAATTCGGAGGACTTAAGGGGGAAGTTGACTTTCTCCCCACTGGTGTTCGACTACCAGAGGATTTTTTCTCCGAATTACTCATATCACACACACTGACACTATCCTGACCACTGACACTGTGCACACTCGCCTTTGAGGCAGGTCTTCCATCATCGGATTTTTTAGACACTACGTTTGTTTCATAGGGTTTAAATGCCAGCGTCTTGGAGTCCGTCGGACTGCATCTTGTACGCTCCAACTTGGCCGCCGGCGGGGATCTTGCATTTGATGCTGCTGCCGAACCCTTCGACTGCTTGTCCAATGGAGAGATGAGCGGTTTCGTTGGTGAATCTGCTCCGATTTGACTGCACGTCTGTGCCAGTAGGGCTAGTGGACTCTTCTTCGCATCCAACTGCAAGAAAAAAGAACAAAACATTTAGATAATACAGGAGGAGAATTAAAAAAAAGGAGAAAAGATTTTGATTACTAACCGTGGTTGGAAGCGGAGAAAGATAATCCGGCTGGAGATACTGATTATGTCCAGTGGTCAACATGCCGCCCTCCTCGAGCACAACCATTTGGTAAAACACTTTAAGGCAGATCACACAACACCAGATTAAATACACTTGATCACCAAAAGAACATAAACTACGTAAAAGAAAATCCAACTTTTTTCGTGCACAATAGAACGACGCGTACTCGGCAATATCCAGGAAAGTAGTGGCGACCGCGCCGAGACCTTCGCAGTTCTTTGCTCGGATCGAAGTTAGCGGCGCGTGGTGTTGAAGTAGCAAACTACGAAATAACCTGTCCTGTGCTGTGTGCCTCCCCCCCACTCTATTTAAGTCGAGAGACGGTGAGTGGGGATTGACGAAGCTAAATGGAAGGGGAACACTGTGTTCCATGGTGTGGGGAGGCATTCTAATTCAACACGCCACCCATGATGTTGGCTCGACGATGACAGCTCCTATCCTGGCTTTGATATTTCACCGCTTTTCAGCCCTGTCCTCTTGTCCCTCACCCTGGCGCACCCCACTCCCCTTGAGAGCCGTCCAGTTCCCCTCACCTTCACAACACAGGCAACTATATATACGATATTTTATACCGCGAAACCTGTCTGTCTCCCAGGGGCAGGCCCAGCTTAATAAGCAGCTTTCAAAATAGAAATGTAATGGGCCGACTGTAGGGATGGCCTGGTGATTGATTGCTCGTCGAGGCGACTTACTGACTGCCACAAGTAACGAATGACAGCTACTTAAGCACTGTTTGCCTACAATTTCATGAAAGTGTTTTAATCCTCAACGCAAGAAAATACCATTTTCTTAAACTATTTCTATTTTTTACTCTTTTTTTCCTTTTCTTTCTCTCTTTTCTCTTACAAAATAATATTAATATTTATATTAACTAGCGACAATATCCTCACTTGCTGACGCTCGTTTAGATGTCCTTATCTTTTATGTGCAGCTCTATTTGTTATAACCCTTTTTGTACTTTAATAATATTGAACTAGCAACTTCTTACTGACTTTTTTGAATAAAATTATCAATTTTCAATATAATAGAATTCAAATTTTTTGTCTTAAAAATAAAATATGAATTCGAATATAGTTTAAATAGTATTATAACTATAAGAATCATATATTTTGATACAGGGAACAGTCAGAGATTTTTATTAAAAGGACTGAAAAAAATTAAATTTTTAAAATTCATAAGAAAATTCTAAATTTTTGTGTCTTTTTTGTTTGCCTTATAAAATATGAAATTACCACGAGTTCTTATATATAATCTTTAATTTCTTCTATATTTTTAACAATAGTTTCTTCTTTTAAATAACTTAATTCTTGAAGAACTATCATAAAATTATTATTTATAAATTATTTAATGAATAATTTTACTTAAATACTTCAAAATTAATTAAAGTTTAAAAGAGTTGCGTTTACAATTTTCATAAATAGATGAACTTCAAAAGGTTACAATTTTGAAAAAATTTCATTAAAAATTTTAAAGAACTTTAAAGAAAAAAATTTTAATAATTCAAATTCTTGTCAAATTAGTTAAATTTTTTAATATTTATTGAATTAATTATTAAAAATAATCGATTTATAGAAAAATTTTAGTTAAAAACACTAACAAAATTTAATTTTTTAGAAGTTACAAATAATTGTAGAAATTTAATTATTTTCAATTATCTAAAAATAATAAAATTCTTTCTCTAAATTCAGTTATTTTCAAAAATTTTAACAAAATTCTTGGCAAAATATTAATTATTTTCCTGAATTCAATTATTTTTAATATCTATACTATTTTAATAAATGTTTCAAAAGAATTCAATTATTTAAAAAAAATTTTTGATAAAATTCTCGGTAAACATTTTATTATTTTCAAAAAGAATAACTATTTTCCAGGAATTCAATTAACAAATTTTTTATAAATTTTTTTGCTATATTTCAATTATTTTCTTAAATACCTTATAAATTTTTTTAAAGGGATTCAATTATTTTCATAAATAATAAAATTCTTTTAGTAATTTAATTATTTTTAAATCATAATATATAAATACATATAATAGGTATATAAAATATATAATTATTTTTAATACAATTTCAATCGAATTCCTTGAAAAATATTATTCTTAACAATTTTATTAAAATTTGTCAAAAGTATTCAATTATTTAAAAATTTGTTGATAAAATTCTTTATTATAGAATTAAATTTCAAGAGACATTCAATTACTTATTTTTGTATTTCAATAATTTAATTCTCGTAAAATTTTCTAATAACAATTTTTTAAAAATCAATTTTAGTTTAAATTTTAGATTATAATTAAATATTAAAAGCATTTGTAGCAAGAATTTTTGGAAATAATTGAATTTTGAAAAGGTTTCAAATTAAAATCTTTGAAAATTTGAATATTTCTAACTATTTTTACTGACAATTCTGTATATAGGATTCAATTTTTCGAAAAAGTTTAATTGGATTTTTTTTATATTATTAAAGAAATGAATTTAAAAATTCTTAAAATTTTTATATTTTTAAAAGTTGTTTAATTTCAAAAAGGTTTAAATTTGAAAATTTAAAAAAAAAATTTACATTTTCATTTTCAATTAAAATTTGTAATTGACAAATAATTAGTGTATTTCCTATTTATTAATTTATTCCAAAAACGTATCTATTTTATTATACACTACTTTTCCTTTTAATATTTCAATTGAATAATATTATTTTATTTGTATAATTATGTGCAAGTGTTTTGGATAAAATTGTATGTATTTATATATCGGTAAGTGAATATGTGTAAATATAATTTGTGATAATATGATTAATATATGTAACCATGCTTGAACGATGAACAGAAATTTTCCTAAATTGACGCAATTCAATTATTAATTCAAAACTAATATATATTACCCAGTTTAATTGATCTGTTGCATGTAAATATGACGTAAATTGTTGCGTTGGTTTAGTTGAACAATACTAACTCAGTAAATCACACAGGAAGTCATATATTGGTTTGTTAATTTTACAAATATTCTTTTTGAAATTTATTACATGTACGCTACCTACAATTATAATCAGTACGTCTTTTATTCTAAATAACAAGATTTATTAATGTTTCTTACACTATATGTATATGGGCAATTCCACGTGAGATTTAGGTCGACCTCTTAAAATCGGCCAAAAATATTTTTTTTCTGTTCTGTATCGAAAAAAAACAGATACGTATTTTTTTATTTTTGTTTAATTGTCCAAATTTTCGAGTTATGAATTTTGGACTTTTAATTGTATACCTATATTCAGTAGCTTATAAGTCCGAAAATATTGAATTTAGAAAAAAGTTGTCGAAGTATGAAAGTTTCAGTTTTCTCTCGACTTTTCGGAAATGTAAAGAAAAAATTTTTTTTTAAAATTTTTTATTAAAAAAAATTTTTTTTTTATAAACAAATTAATTTTTTTTAACTTTGGGCCAGATTTTTTTTTATTTTTTTTAAATTTATTTATACCTTATAATATAGAGAAGATTTTCCAAAATGTCCCGAAATGGGCCTGATGTGTTAAATGAGTTTTAAAACATTTTCAAAAATCACTTGCAAGCATCACAGTGGGATTTTTTTACAATTAACATTTTACAACTGTCTACAGCGTATAATTTTTAATCTATTTAAGTGTTTTTTGTTTTAAATCGAATGATCTACGCTGTAGACAGTTTTAAAAAGTTAATTGTAAAAAAAATCCCACTGTGATGCTTGCAAGTGATTTTTGAAAATGTTTTAAAACTCATTTAACACATCAGGCCCATTTCGGGACATTTTGGAAAATCTTTTCTATATTATTAGGTATAAATAAATTTTAAAAAAATGAAAAAAAATCCGGCCCAAAGTTAAAAAAAATTAATTTGGTTATAAAAAAAAAAATTTTTAATAAAAAATTAAAAGAAAAATTTTTTGTTCACATTTCTTAAAAGTAGAAAGAAAACTAAAACTTTCATTCTTTGACAACTTTTTCCTAAACTCAATATTTTCGGACTTATAAGCTACTGAATATAGGTCTACAATTAAAAGTCCAAAATTTCGAATATTCATAACTCGAAAATTTGGACAATTAAACAAAAATAAAAAAATACGTATCTATTTTTTTTCAATACAGAATAGAAAAAAAATATTTTTGGCCGATTTTAAGAGGTCGACTTAAATCTCACGTGGAATTCCCCATATATGTAAGTTATATTTATTGAAATTCTGCCAAATGGAAATGCGAACGTGAATAAGATATATTATTCAGAATAAATGTATAACATTACTTCAATTGTGAAATTGTTTTTATTTGAGAAATAATAATAATAAAGTGAAAATGTGTCTTATTACATTAAAACTTCCATAGTAACAATTTAACGATGACTTAGTGTTTTCTCTATTAATAAATGAAATGATTAATGAAGACTTATTGGCTCATTATCAAGAATATCTCATCGGATCAAGAGAGAAGAAAAGATTTCAAGGAACTTGGGTGAATATGCGCCTAATAAATCATCTTTTGCAATCTTGTTTTACAGCCAGTGAGTTAACTGATTTAAATTAGCTCCCCACTCTTCGCTTTATGTTCCGCTTCTCAGGAGTGGGGGGTTGCGTCTCTCTCGCACTCATCTCCCCTCCCTTGCGTTTTATATTTTGTTTTTTTTGAGTGGGGGTGAGCATCTCTCTTGCACTCCTTCTTTCTAATAGAGAATAGATTTTTACCTCAATTATCAGGGTAAGATTAATTATTACAATAATTAATCTAAATAGTTTTTCGAGGGAAAATTGAACCAATTGTAATAAAATGAAAGTGTTATAAACAAAGGACAATCTAGAGTGAACAATAATTAGCCGGGAAATACTTCCTTGGGGAATGGAATGAAATATACCAAAGGGGCGCATATCTGAGAAACCGAGATGTTGCAATTTAAAGTGCAACCTCGTTATCTTCTTCTTGTGCCATGCCACGCGATAGTGAGCAATTCTTTTTAATAACTTTTCTTCTTTTTTCCCACTGAAAATAATATCCTTGTGTATAGTAAAATGTTTCCGGTGTCCGTTGAGGCAACTAAAAAAAGAGGAATTGCAAAAGAAACCAAATGGCATATATATTTTATTCAGAGAAGAGAAATTTCATCACGCCTCCCATAAGGATCGTATTACCTTAAACCTACATCCGTTTTTTTTCTCTTCTCTAATATATATGAAACCAAAAACTTTTCTACCGTTTAGCCTGAAGCTTATAGACATATGAGGCCGCGCTAACAACATAACGTCAAAAACTCTGACGTCTCGACGTGGATGAGTTTACAGCTAATATAGTATATGCTCTTTTTGATGTTCGCCGAACGATTTCAAGAAGATCTAAAGGTCTAGAGGCTTGTCAGTGAATGAACCGACAAAAGAATCAACAAAAATCCTAAAGCATTGAGACCATTGACATG